AGATGGGGAAGGTTAGAGTAAAAAGTAAACCTTTGGATAATTGCTGGATCAACTCCCGGTGACAACAAAAAATTTCAGTGGGCAACCCATCCATGGGCCCTTGAGCAAGACCTGCCCAGGCACCTGGCAGCTCAAAAGTATTTTAAAGACTAATTTCTCCACACTGGCTCTTATGAAGAGGAAGTATCTCACCTGCTGTAGATAGCACCCTGAACAACCTCAGACGGGAGAAATAATAAAGTTACTTACTAAGTTTATAACTTCAGACAGGGAGATGCTTGCCGCACAAAATGTCAATAAATCATGTGCATAAAATACCCAAAAAAAAAAGCCTTAAAAAGTAGACACAAATTAAATGAAGTACTGCTTTTGATCCCTTTAGAGTAAATTCACAAGCTTGGTCTCTTTTTAAAGCTAATAATCTGAATTTCTAACTTCAGTAGTCATATTCTTTGTAACTGTAACTAGTATTTAGTATATTGAAGTAAAATGCACAAAAATTAAGATATTTTTCTCCCTAAAGTTTTATGTTTTATTGATAAAGTATCACAGAATATGAAGGGAGTGAGATATAATCAAACAAATTTTACTGGGCTAAAATATTAATTCTCAACTATTACCAGTTCAAATTTGGTAACAGTAGCGTAAAATATGAATATTTGAGACATAGTACAATCCAGCATGTCTCTTTTGCATATTTATACACCTGAACAATTATGTCCAGACTGTACACTTTGTCTAAAACACTGTGATTTCTGAAAGCTTCAACACAGGGACTTCACTCTGGGCTCAGATTAAAGATAAAAAACCCACAAAACATATTCTACCATCCATATTTACTCACAGCAAGAATAAACTAAAATATAAATTAATGTTCAGAAATATTTACACCAACTTGAGTACAYTCAGCCCAATTTCCACCAATAACCAGCCAAACCGCAAGAATAAACAAATATATCCTTATTTCTTTCAAAGCAGCTTATAAAACCACCAGCAGTGAAAAAATATTTGTTTTTCACTCACATTTGATGCATATCTGTCCTCAAATATGATGAAATTAGCGATTCAAAATGGCCGACCGGAAGTGTTTACATCCAAACTTTTTTACATCTCCTGGCCACAAAAATCACTCTTCCATGTCTTGAAGCACTCAAAACACTTAATAACAAATATATTTTCATCTTATCAGCATGTTTAGTCAGCTAACTGGCCAAAAAACAATGGGAAAAAAATGTTTTCATGTGAGCGTGGCTGTCTTCGGCAGCGTAGCAATACTGCCTAAAAACGGCGACCTCCACAGTATTAACCTCATCTGTCACTAAACAAAGTTCCCACCCCCTCAATATATCCACCAAATGAAAGGTACGGTGATTGGCTACACAGCTGTGGCATCAGAAAGAAGCTCGGAGCTGATTGGCCGATTCTACAGTCAATCAAGCCCTGGATGACGGAAACCAGAAGTTGGTCACTTCTCAAATATTATTGGCTCTCGACAGCCGCTACTTGAACCCATTTGGTCAAATGAGATGTCAATTGAAAGGGCAGGACCTAGACATCCATTTTGATGCTTTGAACGCAGACACAGGTTGAACAGAAACACAGAACGGTCTTTCAAAATAAAACGAAACAAAAACGGCACGCGGGCGTCACGCTGAATTTTAATCAAACACAATTAACATAAACACGTTCACAATTATTTTACTATCCTTACTTCTTTGTTTTAAGTTGCCCAACAAGAAAGTCAATCTGAACGATCACAGTTTGAATAAACTCTGCCCACACACATCACGGTTAGTACAAGCTCCGCCCACACAACAAGAAACCAACCCTATGTACTGCAGAGAGCCCTACCAGGAACCGACCACCTCTCATGTCTAGTCCAAGACCAAAGTGTACTGTTACAATCTTAAAACATTTTAAAAGAAATGAAATATTTCTGAAAGGAGCAACTTATAAACCTTCGCATTGTTCACATTGCACAGTTACTCTGAAATACTTTGATGTTCCTTCTGGAAGTACGTCAAGTCAGACAAAAGAAAGGTTTTGGCCCACGCAGTCTATAGCTCATCAGTCCAACCAGAAATAAACTTAATATTTCCAAACAGAGGTTATTCARATAGTTATCTACAGCAGGTAAGAAATTGATTGTTCATAAACCTTCACACGTTCTATGATGCTGTTGGCGTTTAAAGGGATTCTGCAGGTTTACTGTCTGAGTTTGTCAAAAGRTTACAACATGCTAAAGACTCGTACAAACTAAGACCAAACAGAAGAAAAGGCAGAGTTTGGTGATTTTTTTTTCTAAATCAATTGAAAAGAATGTTCTGTTGTTTGAAGTGGAGTTAAACCAAATCGACAGCTCGAGCTCTTGTTGTGGCCTGATGTGACGCTGAAGAACTGGCTGGAGTGTCGAGGTCGCAGCGTGGAGCCCCCTCAGAGTCTGCTCGCCAACATCCACGTGACCCGGCTCCACATCTGGATGCTGGTTCAGTCCCGAGTTGGTTCTGCGTTCACACCTGAGTTTATCGCCCCGATGCTCCAAACTGCACCAAGCTTTGCCTGATTTCTCCAGATCGTTTGTCCCCCTGCTGGTGCTTCTTTATTTCTGCKATTATCGCTGAATAAGAAGAATTCCAGCAGTAGTTCTCTGCTTTCTCATCCTGCAGAGCACAGAGGAGACTCCCGTGTTTTATTAGGAGGGGTCTCAGATCTGAGTCTGTGTTGTTTACTGGATAATTGGTCCGGTTCGTGATCAGAAACAGCCTCTCTACAGGAGATAACCAACATGGATGAGGACTTCCATCTGAACCAAATCTGTTCCCTCTGTGTGCAGGCTTTCATGTTCCACTAGTTTTGTGTTCATTAAAAACAAAACTATGTCTTCATCTTGTTGCTCCTGGTGTTTCTTAAGCATCTTTTTTATGCTTCGTGATGTTTTAAAAAAGAAAAAAATCTTGGTCTAAGCATTTTACATTTAAATGTTTTTGTAAAGTCATTTAACGAAACAAAAGTGCAATGCAGTGAGTTTGGATTCCAAAAGATGACTTTCAGGTGTATTTTGTTATTGTTCTTTAGAAGCAGGGAGTCCCCTCTGGGCAGATGTTACTTCCTGTCTCTGGGAACCTCGCWGAGGATCAGGTCCCACTTCCAGCTGGGGGAGGATGGGGTTTTCCTCAGCTGCAGCAGCAGGTGGGACTGACAAGAGCATGGGTTGCCTTCAGTTATCGCCTGCAGCTGAACGTGGAGCAGTAATGTTTTTGCCCGTTTGTGTTCTKTTGTCTCCACATTTAGAAAAATATAAAAATCACTGGACAGATTTCWGTGAAACTTTCAGAAATTAATCTGTAAAGAATTATTTGGATTGGAAGCCTGATAATTGATTAAATTCTCAGTTGAACGTTTATCTTCAGATCTAAAACCTCTATTTAATTCCGAGCCTGTAGATTCGGAGAGCTAAACAAAATGGCTTCCGATCCAGTGTTTTCATAATATTTATAGAAAACCTGGCCACGCCCMCTGGGGGTGTTCCCGCTCAAATGTAAGCTACATGTTTAGCGAGGCACATATTATTCTCTTATTCTGTTTAAAAATAAATGACTACAATCGATAAAGTAAAAGATTTAAGACTGTATCTATAATTCAGTCACAAAATATTCTTCAATTCATTGGAAAGACTTCTGGACTCACTTCTATTCAAGATGGCCCCTACAACCAACTGATCTAAAAACACACACACACACACAAATGGCTATAACTCTATTTAAGCAATGTTGAGGTAAAATTGTGTCGTGCTAACTTAGACTGGATGGATTTTATTGAAACTTTGATAAAATAATCACTGGTCGTTMCTTTAAAACCATCAACATAACAATATGCGAGAGTAGCTGAGAGTTRTCCACAAAGCAGGCTCAGACGTCTCATACAGCATGTTCTGTTTTTTCCAAGGCTTGACTGAAATGGSAACGACTCAATAAAACCAGATGATCTTATTTTGAAAGTTGGAGGGCAATATGCATTACAACTCAACTGGCGGCCCGCAGGCCACATCTGGCTCGTGAGTGACATCTGTCAGGCCTGCCAATAAAGCCTCCCCTCGCCAGGATTTTTTTAAATTAAAGCATTTTTTAACCACTCAATTTAATATAAAAATATTTTAAATCAATTGTAAATTTTTAGTTTATGGTTCAATGCAATAAAATAAATAAATTGAAAAGGTAAAAGATAATACTTGTTCTTCTATGTACATGCAGTGTTTCCCCTATCATTTTCTGGTGACGCCCGGCCCCTGAGCTGTTGGCTTGAGTCACTGTGGCCCCCKGCGTAATTTAGGTGAACAGCCCTCTGCTAGACCATTAATGTTTAAAAATGCACCAAAAAAACAAAGATTTATAGGAAGTGTTTTTATGATTTTTTAAACATTATTCTTTGCACAGCTAGTGAAYTATTATTTACCTTTATTTAAACAGGCAAATCCTATTGATCTCTTTTGCAAGGGAGGCTTAGTTGGGCCTGAAGGCAACCTATTGTACATGTTTTTGGTCTGTGGGGGGGACCAGAGTACCCAGAGAAAACATTGAGTCTTATTAAGGTTTTCAATGTAGATTTTTAAAATCCTGCTTCAAAAAAGAGACCAGTTGCCACGTGTTCACCTTCTAATCACATCTTTTCATTTTAACAGCTTCTTTTAAATTGATTTATTTATTTATTTTTGCAGTGGGTGATAATGAGTTTACCGTTGCTCCAGGCTGTTCTCCTCCACTCATCGTTCACTTCTGTGATTAAAAATCCAAACTAATTTCCCACACTTAATAGCTAAGCTCCTCCAGGTGCATTGTGGGTAATGCGACTGGTTCCCAGGCTTAGGCAGCAGCACGGAGTGATTAATGGGACCCAAAAGGCCAAACAGATGCAACGTGTGTCCCAGGATGCAGAGACTGTGTTGATACTGAATGTTTTAACACAACACAAAAGGTGCATTCTGTACACTAAATGATCAAACTGCATGTGTTGCACGATTTTATTACACGTCTAATTATTGCCTTTCGATGGCAGGCATTAATGTTTTTACCCGTGTGTGTTTGTGTGCCTGATTTAAGAACCACGGAACATATTTTACCAAAACCTTTAGGTAATGGATGTAGGTTTACAACTTATAAACCTGTAAAGCAAGTCCAATTCAAGATGGCCGCCACAGCYAACTGACCTTAGGAAACACACACACTCAGACAAAAACGCTAAAATTCAATCAGTTTTACAGATATTGTGCTAAAAAGTAGGTGGTTGTAGCTGAAAGTCATTTCCAACATACACTCCAAAATGTCTGAATCAACCTTGTCTGTTAGCAAAATATTTAATGATSCACTGGTAAGATTTTAATGCTTTCACAAAGTTGTCACTTACAGAAGCCGTGAGTGGACGTTTTCCACATTTCCATCGTTTTCTCATGTCGTTACCATGAAATAACGAGGATCGTTTTCTCAAGATAACGAGTTACGGTTTTCTTGTGCATCATTCATGAAGATGGCCTGATCCCCTCAGCTGGTCACCGATAAAGTTTTTTATATCAGCAGATACATATTTATTCTATATCTATAGTGATATTTATTAAATCACTGTAAACACCTGCTGATCTGCAGTCGGGCCAGCTGTCTGGTGAGGGCTGATGTTAAAGTTATCTGTAAGAAACGAATCACAATTTCAACCTGATGATACAAAAATGATAAAATTATGTACAATAGGTTGCCAAGATCTGCAATCTCAATGGAATTTGCCTGATTAAATAAGAGTAAATAAATAAATAATTAAATAAATTGTAAACTTCAAAGATGACCAGYTGAGAGAACCAGGCTGTCTCCGTGCTTACTGAATGATGCACGAGGAAAACCATCGGGAACTTATCACGTGAAAACCATGGAAAATTATATGTGGAAAACGTCCAGAAAGTTTAATTCACACAGTATCCAGCTGAAGAAAAACAAAAGAATAAAKCCACATTTACTGAATATTTATTTGTAGCAATGAGAGTTTACAGAGTAACATGTCCAATATAATCTGTATGTTTAAAGTTATCTGAGCCAGTATCAGCTACAGGTGATTACTCCTCTATGATCTGCTTCACACAGCTGTAAAAGTGAAAAACAAACATCGAATTTWAACTAAAATCTGTTTGTGCTGTTCTTCATCATAAGGACCTGTTGTGATATATGGGTATAAAACAATCCCACATTCAGTTTCTCTCATTTTATTGGGATAAAAATCACAACATCCTACAACTAAACACACGCAATAAGAGACAACTTGTTTTTCCTCATTTCAAAAATCTCCATGGTAATAATAAATCACAGAGGGATTGCCTCAGAGTTTAGCAACGCTGGTTAGGTCATAAAATGCGTGATAAGTTTCGTTAATTTCTGCTGAGCTGTGCAGATTTTACAGTCTCTCCATTGAAGAAATACCAAAGAAAGAGAGCAAGCGGGTGAGGAGCACGTAAATGTTACGTGCAAGCAGACACATCTGATTTTAACATTTCAATATTGTACAACTGCAGCCATTTAAACAAAACGCCTGATGTTTTCTTTATTATAGATGCTCTTTTAGTTTTTTTTTAATCTGCAGATTCACAGGGACATTGCTAAAATGCACATTCTACTCTTTTAAACTGCAGAGGTGTGGTAGTGTTGGGTGAAATGGAAGAATAACCAAAGCAGATGAGCAGCAATTCATTTCTGAGCTTTGAATTTTTGAGAACAGATCTCGTTTAGTGGAGATGAGCTTTATACAAACAGGCAAATCTGACAATCTGAGAGTCAAACAATCATTTAAACTGTTACCTAATTCACATATAAATAATAAAAAACATCTAACACTATGTGTGGTAAAGTTATACAAGTGTTGGGATGTTACGTTAAAGATCACTGGATTGTTCTTTCTGGAAGGTGCATTGAAATACTAAATATTCTACTTTTCAGTAGAGAAAGCCCTTTTCATCAGCGGAGGAGGGGTCTTTCCTGCGTTGTACAAACACTCAGGAGGAGGGGAGCTCAGGCAGCACCAGTCTGGGATGCGGCCCATCTGGTTGTAGTAATCCCGTGACACCGACCGGCTGCCCAGGATGTCCTGAAGGGCCCCGAAGATGGCTCCTGCAGAGGGGAGCAAAAGGAGAGAAAAGTTTTAGAAACAGAGGAAAAAGGCTGACTGAATTGTTTCCTCAAATGTGCTGACGTGGGACAAATATTCATCCGCGACGCAGTTTTAGAAATAGCGCTGACTCGTTTGGTCAGCGTGTAATAACAACACTTCAGCTGAAAAACTCTGAGCACCTCCGAGCCACGCCGTGCAGTTGGGCTTGGCAGGTGGAGCGTGGATGCGGAAGCTCTTGCTGGCCAGCACCTCGCTGTACTTGGGTTTCTCCACCAGGAGGCGGATCTCTACCAGCAGGCGGTGCAGGAAGCCCGGCAGCATGGCCGTGCCGCCGATCACCACCAAGTTCTCGGAGAGAACTTTACGGGTGTCGATGGGACACTGCGAGAAAAAAAAAACACAAATTTGTGACCAGCTGAACAGAAACAAAAACAGTGTCTGTAATGGCTCTAAACAAGTTACCTTGACTAGAGTATCGAGTATCAGAGTGGCCACGCTTTTCTCCTCGTTGTCCTGTTCAAACAGGATCTCCATCACAGAGTCCCTGCGAAAAAAAGACAACTTATAGAGCTAAAAGGACACACACATAAAACTTCAAGCTAAAACTCTTTCCAAGTTATTCGCAAATACAGCTTTTCACTTCTATGCAGATGATACTCAAGTTTATTTAGCTGTTGATCATTCTGATCTGCTATACAAATAAATCTATTAATATTCGTTATTATTAAATCTGAACAAAAGATTGGAAAAAACCAGCAACAACTGACAGGAAATAAAAAAAACACTACCTGATTGAGCCTTTAATGTGAAGGATTTTCTCCCCGTCTAGAGGATAAGCTACATCTGGAGGAGGAGCAGGACGCTACAAACACAATGAATTCATAGAGTTCTTTACAACACAGCTGCTCACTCAAGTCACAGAATGAATAAAACCAGAACAAACTTTACCTCTGCTGTGTTGTCTAGGTTAAACTTAGCCTCCTGGATCTTCAGTCCTCTCTGCAGGTCACTGACAAAACATGTTCTGACTGCAAGAAACCAAACAGCTTTGAGTCCATATTTAAACTTAAAAACAACAATAATGTTTGTTTGACTGTCAATCCATAAAAATCTTTCGCACACTAATAAAATACTTTCAGGACAAACCAGGAACTCAAAGATCAGAATATGTCCCGTTCGTTTTTACTTGCAAACAACAATAATCAGAATAAGATGATGAAGAATAAGAAAATGATGATGAAAATTAAGAATAACGATGAAGAAAAAAAGATGATGAATAAGACAGAGATGAAGAAAAGTAAATGATCAAGAAAAAACTGATGATGAAAAAGAAAAAGATACAGTGGGTAAAATAAGTATTGAACACGTCAACATTTTTCTCAGTAAATATATTACTAGAGGTGCTAATGACATGAAATTTTCACCAGA